GGGCATCCAGCGAGGTTTGAAACACGAGCGCGAGAGAGGAGGCGAGGTCAGGTATATCCGAAATCCGACCTGGCCACGAGGCGCTCGTTCAGGTATCGTTCGGGAGAAACAAACAGAGACGACGTGCCCGTGGGGTGGTTAGGGACGATCTGGTGGAGGCTGCGGACCGAAATATACGGCCGATTCTCACCAGCACAACTGCCGGCCCACGTTGCACGTTCAACCGACCACCATCTTAGACGGTGGCCAAGCTATTTCAGGCAGTGCCGCGAAACAGGATCGTATACCGACCTCTGTTCACCCGTGGACAACGCGATTCTTCCTCCAATTTCAATTTTCTCCATCGAAATTTCATCAATTTTTATCAACTAAACACCATCTCGATCCAAATCGTTCCTTCTCCATCGTCAATTTTAACCCATGGATGGACGAGAAATTTCCAAAAGTCGATTTTCTCAGCAAGAATTATTTAACGTCTTCTTCTTCGAAACTTCTTCTTGGCCAATCTGATTTTCTCCCCGATGAAATTATTCTGATCGAGTATATTAAGATCGATCTTCGATGCCGTCGATCGGTTTCTCCCAATTTTTTCGAAGCTAAAGGAAATGGGATACGGCGCAAAAAAGAGGAAGGCAGACACGGCCGATAAATTTTTCACCGGCGAAATTCACCGATGATTATTTTAGCGCGAGATCCCTCCCCCTCCGCCTGGCCGAGGCCTGCGTGGAACGAAACTCTGCGATGGCCACGACGGATACAAGCCAGAGAGAGGGTCTTCACCCTCGCAGGAACAGGTTGGCTGGCCGCCTCCTCGAGTCGCGCCTTCTAGAAGCCATGTTTTTGATAAACAGAGTTAACGTTTTTATAGATGGCCGCCTTCCTTCCACCAAACTCAAGTTGAATCGGGGGCAGAGTTTATTCTTCGAGAGGGGGATTTGCATGAAATCCTCGACGCGAGAGGGAGTTGAGCGCTTCACGAAAATTTGATTAGTAGCGATTAGAGATATTTGTAAGATTTGTAAGATTTTTTCTCGGATATGGAGTTTCGTTTTATCAGAGGGATATTCAAATCGTGCAAAATGGTTCTGTTCGCTATTTCTTCTTAAAGTTCCAGCTGATTCGATGAAATGTAATTTAATCATTTAACTGCGGGTACTTTTAACACAGCTCTAAACGCAAAAAAGGAAATATTATCATAATACTGGTGAACGATATAATTCTATAATCATTTTATAAAGCACAAAAAGTGCATACAAGTTGCTATCACAGAAATCTGAAAATTTTATTCTAAAACTTCGCGCCCTTCTCTTGAAAAACTGGAAGAAGTAGAAGGAGTTATTAGAAAAAGTTCGCATAAATATATAGTTTGAACAGCGGTCAAAATGAATCTAAACTTTCATCTTGTACCAGGACAAAAATAGGATGAGAAATAAAAGCATGCACAAAGTGTGCACTTTATAATAAACGGTAAGAAAAATAAAATAAAAATAAGTGTACATCTTCTAATTTTAAATTGTATTACCAAAGTGATATCCTATTTTAAATCTATTTTATTTTATTTTTAACATTTTATTTTTACTTTAGTGGTATACACGCGCTATTCAATATTGGCAAAAATTAACGTGTGTTGTTTATACAACACCTGGCTATAAAATCTCGTGGTTCAATTAAACCACACTCGCAATTAAAAGGTTGAATGAAAATTATCGAATCCCAAGAGAACCGTGGCTTCCTTCCTTCGTCTACAAAATCCTAACGTTTTTAAAATTGACAAAGTTGACGAGGCGAAGCACGATTAAAAAAAGAACGACATTCGTCTTGGCATTGTCTGGGACGAAACGGATAATGTCTCGAGGAGGAGCAAGAGCGAAATTCGATGCTGTTCGAGTTTCGCGAAGTGGAGCAAAACGTGAGCTTCGCGAAGGGAAGAGCCGATTCGACGGAAATTCAATAACCAGTAAAAGTTCCCGTGGCAGGAGGGGAGAAGCAACGATCTCCTCTCTTTCCAGCCACGGGGAAAGAAACTGACGAGACGTCGTGAAATTAGAAACTCGACAATAATTAATCTAGGTCGTCGGTGGAGGATCGATACGCGGCTCTAAGTTGCACAAAAATCAAATCTCCTTTCCTTTTTTCTTTTCCTCCTCTTCCAAAATTTCCGCCTTTAAATCTTCGCTAAGATACGTCCTCTCTTAACGAGAGTGCAAATTTCAGTGGCCTGAACGCGAAAAGTTACGAAAAGTTACGAAAAAAAGGAAGGTTATTACACCTAACAGAATCCCCTTTGAAAACCTGAAAAGATCGAATAAATAATATTCGAGGAAACGCCTTATTTTTCCAGCTTATTTCGTTCTGGATCGCTCTTTCTCCACTCGAGTTTCGTCGATATCCAGCCGAAAAACTCGCGGAGTCGACGTGGGACCTTTTTGTCCCGAGGCGTTGCAAGAGTTGACCCGAATAACTCGTCCGGTCCACGAAACCGTCCTCGTTGCTACGAGGCAGTTTAATCCACGAAACTCGTCTCCGCGTATCTTCGAGCATGGAATAAGAAGCTTGGCAAGCTAATTTCCATAATTGCGTTAGAATTCGAGACGAATGGCTGACTATTCGACGAAGCTTCTTCGAATCTCGAGAAGGGCAGATTAGGATAAATAACAACGCCACCAAGATTTTCCAGTACGCTCGAAATTACCTCTTACATCGGATGGAAAGAAAGGAAAACGATCGAGGGATAAGATAAAATTTTTACGCCACGTGTGAAGAAACCGACGATTCGAATTGCCGCGAGATAAAGAGACTCGCAACGTGAAAAATAATTCGAGAATGTTCGATGCGTGGAATTCTCGAGATTAATCAAAGGGAGGGAGAGAAGGGAGCGCGATTCAGGAGTCGCGATGCAATTTCGTGGGGCGGTTCGAACCGCGGCGAGAGGGGCAGAGGCGTGACCCACTTGCTTAAACGCTGGCGAAATAATATTCCGGTTGGAAGGGAGACTCTCCGTGTGCACGCTCGCCTGCAATAATGCCGTCCGCAGACTCCATTTTCCTACCCCTCCTCTCTCTCTCTCTCCCCCCGATCGATCGACGGATTTCCAGGCTGATTTCGTCAACCTCGAGTAAATCGATGGATCGTCTTGTTTCTCGATCGCACAGCTTAACAGATTCGTCATCCATTTTACTTTAAAATATATGAAATGAAAGTATTAAAATTACTTCCGTTTACTACTTCACTCTTTCGACAGTGATATTACAAGAAGTAGAGAGTACACTGAAAACAAGTAATTCAGAATCGGTGTTCCAGAATTGATTAATGAAAACTAGGAACCGATATATAAATACATCCCAATTAAATTTTATTCTAAAATGAAAATATTAAAACTACTTCCTTTCATCGGTCTTACGGCTTTCCAGTAACATTGGCCGACGAACGTGTTGGATTGGAATTTTTCGGGAAGAAGAAATTTGTATAATTTATCGTGGGGGAAAAGTTGAATGGAAGATTCGTAGAAATATCGATCCTTTCGAATTTTTTTCGAGAGATGAAGGAGGAGAGAGAAGAGTCGCAATCGCGCCACTTTGTTAATGGATACGGGAAGGCTTTGATGATTATTGTTGGCCGAATAATGCGGGGAAAAAGAACGGGTGAAAAAGCGGAATGGAAACGCTTTCGACAGCCTCGCCGCCACTTTGTTGATCGTCATCGAGGCCTACTGGAAAGCATTCGTTGTCGCGTCCCTTTGTTCCCTAACGGAATACACTTTTCTCTCTTTTTTCTTTCTCTCTTTTTCGAAACCAATCGAAAGCGACGACGGAGATCGGTCTTGGATCGAAATCGTAACGAATCGTTGTAAATGGTCTAACTGGTAGAGGATTCGTATCTCCAAATATTTCCAATATGGCTGGTTTAGTTCGACCTACATACCTGCGTTTTGTTAAACTTTGCGATCGTGTATTGGATATATTTTTCCAGTTGTTTTCGAGTTAGCGAAAATTAGATACTTTTTCCCTTGAATGAATGAAATATTTCTATTCGTAGCTTCAAGTTAAACACGAGTTTACGAATTTCTCCCTTATTCGGGATGATAATTACGAATCGAATTCTCTCTTCCAAAAATACTTCATCGCTGCGATATTCGTGGAAAAAAGTAAGGAGGAAAGGAAGAGAGCGTTTTTCCACGAAGGATCGCGTCGATTCTTGGCCCATTAACGATCCACCCGTTGTTGCGCTCCGACCGAGAGCGGTCTGCAAACTCAGTCTGCGGTATCTCATCGGCGAGGAATTTACATTTTCGGCGAAAGAGGAATGCACCCACGCCTCGTCGATGGATGGATAATTTCGAGTTTCTTCTCCCGCCTCCATTCGCGTGACTCACGCGGCACATTTTGAAACACGGTCACGTTTTGGCAAAAACAATGCGGCTTATTACCAAGCGCGGCTATTCGTCACATCCGGGACCGTTCGTGGAACGTGATTTCCCAGGACTTGCACCGAGTTTCGTCCTCGTATGCAAATTTACCTGGAAACGTGCAAGTGTTTCGAGAACACGTCGATGATCGTATTTCGATGAAACAAATTTACTCGAAGAAAGGTGTATTCGAATTAAAAAGCATATCGAATTTGGAAACTGAGAGTTTCCAAATATCTTCCCCTTCAAATTTCATTTCGGAGAAATGAAGAGCAGGAGAGTGCTATTCCCGCGCGGTGAAAGATCGGTAAAAAGGAATTTTCGCGAGATTAACGACACGTTTGGAATTGAAAAGTATATTCGAATTGGGAGCTCAAATTTCTTCGAAGAAATGAAGAGCAGGAGAGTGCTATTCCCGCGCGATGAAAAATCGGTAAAAAGGAATTTTCGCGAGATTAACGACACATTTGGAATTGAAAAGTATATTCGAATTGGAAATTGAGAGCTCAAATTTCTTCGAAGAAATGAAGAGTAGGAGAGTGCTATGAAAAATCGATAAAAATTTTCATGAGATTAACGAGACGTTTGGTGGCAGGCACGTATCAAGGGCAATGGTACCACGGGATGAGGCACGGGTACGGCGTGAGGGCGAGCGCCCCTTTCGGTTTGGCGAGCCATTACAAACCCTCGAAGCAAGTGAGGGCCTCGTTGACGTCCCTGAGGAGCGCGGACGATGGTGGGGCGGTGGCACCGACGCCCGAGCCGACCGACAGAAGGGATCGCCGGGTGGGCGACAGTAGGGGTGGCTTCGTGCTCAAGGCAAGGAGCGACAACCCCCCCGCGAGGAGGAAGAGCCTCACTGAGAAATCGTTGAAGAAGGGTATCCTCTCGGTAAACGATCTATCCCGAACATATATATATATATCTATCCCTCTCGACGTGTTTCCACGTTTCTCTCACCACGTTTCTCGTGTTCCAGGGGTTGAAGATACGAAAGCAGAGGAGCACGGGCGATTTGGAGAAGCATGGAACCGGGGGCAGCATCAGGAGCAACGCCAGCTCCGCTTCGTGGATGTCCACGGAGAGCTCGCAGAGCCAGGCCTCGGCGTCCGTTCACACGGACAGTAACGCGTCCTTCGTCATCGAGGTAAGAATCGTGAACTTTGATCGAAAAGTTCAGTGCACCATTGTTGTTTGCTTCTCAAAAGCGAAACATTTATCCCTGATATTAATGTATGTAATCGGGATCGAATGATCCCATTCTCATGCCTGACTTTTCGCTGACTTTTTTTAGCTCTATAAACAAATTTTTGAAAAGAAGATCGCGATTGGCTAGGTCAACGACCATTGACTAGCGAGTTTTCCGTTCGCCTTCCCTCCACTCGAAAACGTTTTATTTTACTCGTATAAGAAAAAGATCCAGATCTTTAAAAGATTTTCATATCTTCGGTGTTTCTCCCATTCTCTTACGACACAAACGCTACAAACGCTACTACTCCAAACTAGTCGAATAGAAAAAATTGTTCCTTTGAAAGATCACTCCACCGATCCAAATATTACCTCAACATCTTTCACATTTAAGAAGGCGACAATTTGTTTTGCCCGATAAATAACGCCGAGTAACTTGTTCTCGGCAGGACGAGCAGATGGACGCCTCGGTGACCGAGACGTATCTGGGCGAGTGGAAGAACGACAAGAGGACGGGTTTCGGGATATCGGAGCGGAGCGACGGGCTTCGATACGAGGGGGAGTGGTTCAACAACCGGAAGTACGGTTACGGGGTGACGACGTTCCGGGACGGGAGCAAGGAGGAGGGCAAGTACAAGAACAACGTGTTGATCACCAGCCAGAAGAAGAAGCATCTGTTCCTAATCAGATCGGCCAAGTTCCGCGAGAGGATAGAGGCGGCCGTGAGCGCGGCCCAGCGTGCGAGCAAGATCGCCCTCCAGAAGGCGGATATCGCGATATCGAGAACGGCGACCGCCCGGGGGAGGGCGGAGCTGGCCGACACGGCGGCGGACCAGGCGAGGGAGGATTCGGAATTGGCCCAGCAGACGGCGAAACAGTTCGCGCCCGACTTCAGGCAGCCGGGGTTGGAGAGGTTGAGGAACAGGGAGATACCCAAGTACGTGCCACCCCCCCAGGACACGGTGCCCGGGAAGAGCATTCTTCACAAGGGGAACGTGGATCAGCAGGGATCGCACAAGAGCCCGACCTCCTCGTCCCAGGACGGGGCTGCGACGACCACGGCCAGCAACGTGATGCAGTCGATCAGGAGGGCGAGCATCAAGCCTCAGAATCAATTGCCGCAGAACCAGTTGTCGCAGACCGAGCTCGCGAATCAGGTGACCCCGGCCCAGCTGGTCAACCAGCTGCCCCTCGACCAGTTGAACCAGACCACCCTGCCCGGCCAAAACTCGGTTTATCAGGCTCAGTATCCCATGGTTCAGAGCCCTGTTCAACCCCAGGCCTATCCCAACAGTATACCGAATCAGTATCAGCCGATGATGAACCAGTTCGGCCCCCAATACGGGCCGAATCAGTATCCCGGTATTCAAGGTAGTCCGTACAGCAATCAGCCTCAATACTCGATACCCGTGAACACTCCGGTCCAGGCCGATCAGTATTCGTACCAGCAACCGATCGGTGGTCAACAAGGGTATCCTCAGCAACAAGCTTATCCCAATCAGCAGGTGGGATCGATATTTTTATCTTCATTCGGCGAGAACGTGTTCCCAATCCCCTGTTTTCACCGAATCGATCCGTTTCAGGCGTTGCCGAATCAATACGGGCAACAAAGCCAGACGAATCAATACAATTCCCAGCAAGTTTACGGGCAGGCCCAGCAATTAGGGGGCCAACCGCAAACCCAAATCCCGCAACAGTACCAGGCCAGCGACGGTGAGGCGCCACGGCCGCCAAGCTCCACCAGTATACGAAGAAACAGCAGGGTTCTAACGGCGCAGGATCGACCCAACACCATCGGGCAAACGTTGAACGACAGGTATCCGAATTAAAAATAAATTCGATCGTCGCGTTTCTTAACTCGTGTCGATCGTAGGCTGGACCATTACAAGAGGCCGCCCAGCCGTGACAGTTCCGTGGATCGTTACGCCAGAGCGCATTCCCGATTGACTGGATCGAGGCAGCCGTCCGTCGATAAAACGGTCGCGAATCCGGACATGCTCGACAGGTTCGATCAGCAAAACCTTTCCTCTCCTTGCTTGCAAATAAACGTGCACAACGAAATTAACACGAAATTCACCCCTCGAGATTTAACGCTTGGATCCACTAATCTAGATCACAGAAACAATTCACACCATCCGAACATCACGACCAAGCTTCGACTAACGCGAAGAGAAATGTTAATCAAAGAAGATTTAACGCTTGGATCTACGAATCTAGATCGACGAGAGCGCCAAGCGCGATCCGATCGAGCACGCCGCTCAACGGGTCCGTGGTGGGCAGCGGTGCAGCGACGCCGACCTACGCTGCCTCCACTTCCGCCCAATTCGAGGGGGCCTTGCTCAGGAATCGTAGCCTCGGCCAGGACATTCTGCCGAGTCCAGGCCAGCCTAAGCGTACGGAAAGCCTGTACGTCACGCCCGGACGCGGTTCCACCGCATCCGGCGGCGGAGGCGGCCCCGGAGCCGGCTTGTCGAAGGTGAGTCCTCCGCTTTTGCGATATCGTGCGTGTCCCCTCTCTCTTCTTTGCTCTTGCGCCACGAGGAAAGGGGCCCCCTTTCGGACCTCTCAACTCCACGATATCGTCCCTCGTCCAAGCTAGGAATTATCGGAATAATCGTGAATCAGAATCGTGAATCAGGTTTCGATTTTTTTTTTTTTTAAGTTAAAACCTCGAATGAAAAGTCACTCGACGTCGAGCAACGATTATTATTATTATTATTATTATATTCTCCCTCAAATTTTGTTAAATCTCCAAACTTTTCTCTAGATGTGACACTTGCGCAACAAAGTGTAAAATTAATGTAACGTAAACGTGTTCTCGTCACACGCATCGTATGCGAGCACTTCGAATCCAGCAAGAAGGATCCAGCACACTCGGATTTTCGCCACTCCCTTTCTGCTCGGATCTCTCCCTCTCTCTCTCTCTCTCCCTCCCCCCCCCTCCTCGCCCCTTCTTTAGCGTCTTTTATCGTTGAGGATTCTTTGTCAGGATTCTTTGTCTCG